CACTGGTTCTTAACCTTGGGTTACTCAGGAGTTTTGGACTGCAACTCCCAGAAGCCCTCACCACCAGCTGTCCTGACTGGAGTTTCTGGGAGTTGCAGTTCAAAAGCATCCGAGTAACAAAGGTTAAGAACCAGTGGACTAGAGTATGCCAGGCCCTCCTGTCTTCCACTGCCTCCTGGAGTTGTGTCAAATTCATGTTGGTCGCTTGGATGACACTGTCCAACCATCTCATCCTCTGTCATCCCCTTCTCCTCTTGCCTTCACACTTTCCCAACATCAGGGTCTTTTTCAGGGAGTCTTCTCTTCTCTTAATACTTACCAATGCCTAAATAAAGTAAGCTATGCTGTGAACTCAAATGGGCCTGCCCACAGATTTCTGTGACTGAGAGTACAACAACAGATGCAGGATGAAATTATATAAAAGGTGCTTTTCTCAGCCATAAATACCGTGAAAGAGGGTGTTTTTTCTCGATCAATACAACGGTGCACATATACATTTCCATTGGCATCGTCCTCAATAGAAAACAAGCCAATCTCTGGATTCTCGTCCACACCAGGTCCACTAATAAGGTATTTAACAGACAGATCTCGAGCTACATCATTGAAGAGCTATAAAACAAAATAGGTTGGCAATAAATATCATCATCATTATGTTAAATCTACAGAGCTGGAAGGGACCTTATGGATCATTGAGTCCAGCTCCTGCTAATTTATTCGAAACTATTGTTCTGATATTGGGACTGAACAGGGTTTCTACCATCTCACTGTAGCATAGAGGTAAATCTGTGCCACAGGGTTATGCCAGCAAAGCTGAAGCAGAAATTCTGACAGGTTCTGCTAAGATGATAGTTTTGGATATAGCTATATGGCTGCCATCTAAGTAGCAGGCTAGCTAGAATGTCAGCCACCACATAACATAGTGATCATGCATGCAGTAACCATGCAAAATAACTACTCGTTTAAAAGCTTAAACAAAAAAATATCACAGAAGTCACAGAATAGCAGTAAATGGGTGACCAATAGCAGTAATACCAAATCACTATCAGAGTATATAGACAGCCCTATGTTGCTATCATCAGCCTTAGATCATCCCCCACCCCCGCACTTAGACAACGAAGACCCATGGTGACTTGTATTACTGAGGTCAATGATTTCCTACTAAATTAAACATTACATCAAGATTATCAGTGAGACATATATATTAGTAAATTATCCAGCATCTGTAATTTTTCCCCTTATTAATTGCTGTGTTGATCTAATTCGTTCCAGCGAAATTGCTGTAGAGCGAAAACGTCGTAAAGAGAAATTAAAAAGCCCATTGAAATGCATTGAAAACTGTTCAGTGCGTTCCAATGGGCTGACAACTCACCGTCCAGCGAAGATCCTCCATAGGGGTGGCCAAGAAGAAACATATATGTATTTAACTTATTAAAATATTTTTAACCATCAAATGCATACCAGACTGGTATACAACATTACTCCACTGTTATCAATTACAGAGAGAGAGGGAGAGTGGGAGGGGAGGGAGGGAGAGGGGGGGAGAGAGAGAGAGAGAGAGAGAGAAGGAAGAGAGGGGAGAGAGAGAGAGTGCTTGTTCAAACATGTGCATGAGCATGGGAGGTGCCCCGCCTTCCCCAGCCAGTCAGTGGACCGAAAAAGGTTGGGGACCACGCCTTTAAAGTTGCCTGTATTTCCTTCTAAGAGATGATAACACATGTACTGAAGAACAAGCTTTTGTCAGCTACAATGAATGAACAATGGCTTCTGAGTCCATGGCACCAAGCTTAGTTCTGCTCAGCAAGTTCCTCTGCATCAGCACTCAGAAATGGAGAGATTTCTTTTTCATTGGGTACCGGTTGAGGGTTGGGGTTTTTTTTTTTGGATGGGCGGGAAAGGAATGTAAAGCCCACAGAATTCAAACTGGGTCAATCCCAGGAGACTTCTGGGTGTTGTACCTCAACAACTGCTTTCTTTATCTAAACTAAGCTACTGAATTGAACAAAAGTAGATAGGGCCAGTATATATATATTGCACTTGGCATGCTGTACTTGAGGTTGGCCTTTGGAAGCTGAATTTGCAAGTCTGACTGGCAAGGCACAAGTCTCTGAGGAAATACAGTTGTGTGTGGTTGGGATGCATGAATCCTGTGGAATGAGCATTCCTCTTAATGTGTTGCTTGATCCCCTCTGTGTGTGTCTTTTGCATCTGGAACCATCCAATGGACATGGGGTTCTAGGAAAAGTGAAGCAAAGCCTGTGAGCTCACAATCTGCCAATCCCTAGACTAGAATCCACTTCAACTGCTAAATGGCACTGCAGATCAAATCCAAGAGAACTGGACCAAAAAAATACCCAAGTCTTTTTTTGTTTTGTTTTTCGTGGAGTTTTCTTTAACAATTACCTGTCCAATAAATTTAGGGAATGGTCCTTTGTCTTCTTCGTCAAGTTCCAAGGTTGTAATAACCCATCTTCTCTTTGTGCGACGCAAAGGACGTAGACTATCCAGCAGTTTCTGATCTTGACCCTAGGCGCACAACAAACCATTTCCATTATAACACCAGACATATAGCAGAAAATGCTTTCTGAAAGCATATCAGCACAGCTGGAAAAAATGCCAAACATCATTAAGATTCTACTGAAAACTTCAGTAGTATCAGAAACTTCAGTCTGCAGTCACCACCTCATGTAGATGGCACACATAGAGTGCCTTCATATATATACCCTTAAGGGCTCATGATCAAAATCTTCCTGACTTCATCAAGCTACAGTGGTACCTCGCTTAACAATTGTCCAGCATTATGACGAAATTGCTGTACATCGATCTTTTTCCAATCGCAAAACAATGGTCTAAATAGGGTTTTTTCACTTTGCGATGATTGGTTCCCTGCTTCAGGAACCGATTCTTCGCAAAACAATGTGTTTTTTAACAGCTGATCGGCGGTTTCAAAATGGCCACCGTGTGCTTAAAATGGCTCCCCACTGTGCTTAGGGACGGATTTCTCGCTTTACAGGCAGTGAAAATGGCTACCGTATGGAGGATTTTCACTGGGCTGTGAGTTTTTACCCCAGTGGAACGCATTGAACAGGTTTCAATGCGTTTCAATGGGGTTTTTAATTTCGTTTTACGATGTTTTCGCTTAACGGCAATTTTCCTGGAATGAATTATCGTCGTTAAGCGAGGCACTGACTTCATCAAGCTACAGTGGTGCCTTGCTTAACGATTGCCCAGCATTATGACGAAATCGCTGTACAACGATCTTTTTGCAATCACAAAACAATGGTCTAAATAGGGTTTTTTCACTTCGCGATGATTGGTTCCCTGCTTCAGGAACCGATTCTTCGCAAAACAATGTGTTTTTAACAGCTGATTGGTGGTTTCAAAATGGCCACCGTGTGCTTAAAATGGCTCCCCACTGTGTTTAGGGACAGATTCCTCGCTTTACAGGCAGTGAAAATGGCTACCGTATGGAGGATCTTCACTGGACTGTGAGTTTTTACCCCACTGGAACGCATTGAACAGGTTTCAATGCGTTTCAATGGGTTTTTAATTTCGTTTTATGATGTTTTCGCTTAACGGCAATTTCCCTGGAATGGATTATCGTCGTTAACGAGGCACCACTGTATATATATTCAGTGATTTAACATCACACCTACTCCCCAATACCCACCCCAGGACACACAGACCATTATGAAATGAAAGTTTAAAAACTCAAAAAACTCGAGTCGGAAAAACTCAATCTGGATTTTAACTGAATGTCAGTACTAAAGAATTCGACAGTCTCACCTGGCTGCTTCTTTTCTGAATGCTCTTTCTTAGACTACTGTTGTTACACAGTGCATGATGCAAGATGTTAACAGCGACAACCTTAAGGGAAGGAACAAGGATGGCAGTAAGCAACATATTATTTTAGCAAAGTTGTGTTTAATCCCAATACTAAAAAAACTCCAGACAATCATGCCCAGTATAGTATATCTGTGAAAATTCTCGGTCATCCAGGTGAGGTGGTCTGGAAATTGAGTCATGGCAACTGGGGTTCTTTCCTATTAGGTTGAAATTTGGATAAGTAGCAAAAGATTTCAACCTAATAGGAAAGAAGTCCAGCTGCCATGACTCAGCTTCCAGATGCCCAGTATAGATTGCCATTTATGCTGGCCCCAGTCAGGACATGGGGAGTATATGACAGGGCTTCACGATTATTGGCACATTAATTCCCCTTCATAATCTTCTTTGATCATAGCAATAGTGTTCTTAATGCAAAACAAAATTTTCATTGTTATTCCAGAACAAAATTTCAAACTCTGATGTAAAACTCTTGATTATGAGCACGTGGGACTTTACCACCCTTTCAAACTCTTACCTGTAGTCCTATTAAGAGATATGATTTCTGAACTGCACAACCAAAGCTGTTGTAGAAACGGGCTAAACACGTTCCAAAATCAAGTGTGCTATCCTGTAAGCCCTTTCCACAATCAAGCAATGAGTTCCCCTGCAAAGTTTTGCTCATAGGTTTGACTCATCCAGCCTGGATTACAAGTATTTTCATTGCTTCCTCTCTTTTTTGTTCCTCATCTCCACCTGCAGCAAACTGTAGCCTGGGCAATATAGGGTTAATCTCATGGGAAAACCATGCCTTGAAGCAGGAGATGAATGTAAGGACAATCCTACTGTGGGTTTTTAAATAAACACTTTTTAGCACATTGCATAAGGGAAAGAAAATAATCGTAAGGAATTCATCCTACAGACGGATGCTACGTTGCCTAGCTGTAACCAATATACTATTCCAGATGTATTACGTTGACATTTTTTAAAAGTACGTACCGAAACCTGCCAGCTTCTTAAATAAACTGCATGTGATGTGCCATCAAGTCATATCTACCTTATGGCAACCCTAACAGCCATTTCCAAGGTATATGAGGTATTTAAGGAACGGTTTTGGCAGTGCTTCTTCCATGGGTTTCCATGGTTGAGCAGAGACTTTAACCTAGACCTTCTGAGTTCTTGTCTGTAATTCTATACATGACACTGGCTTAATAAATTACTGTACCATATAGATTGTTTTTTTAAAAAAAGAATTAAGTCCAGTTGCTCTTCTTCATGTCAGCCACACAACAAGCTACCCACAGTGGATAAGTACAAGCAACAACTTAATCTTTTTCCCATGCTCTACATGAGCCTTCTTGCCATCTGAAAGACTCTCTAGGACACTTTTTTTAGCGAGCAGGGTCAGCCCTACTGAAGTGGCCAGCTTTTCCTGTTCTTTATTGTTTTCCATCAATCCACACTGATGCAAGATATTTATTCAAGACTTTGACCTGTCTCCCTTAGGATTATAATAACCAACTATAACACAATTGCCATTTGCAACCAATGGCATCCAGGTTGCTTAACTGGTTCTGTCAATATGAGATTGATTGTCAAGGGATAACCTGTTGTCCTTGTCCATTTCTGTATCAAAGTATCTCCCACTGACTATGACTGGGGCCAGGTGACACTGCTTTTGCTAAACCGTGTTGCTCCACGACCGATTGCTCAATATGCTCACAAGAAAAAAACCTGCACTCTTATTCATGTGTGAAACTTATCCATGAGCATGTAACAGCTCCTTCCGCATCTGGAAAGCAACGACAGAGAGGAGGTGGACTAGGTCCTCCAATTCAAGGCTAGTGATTCTAGCTATGTTGAGTAATGTCTGAATTGTGCTAGAGATTATTCTTCCAGCTCTCAGAATAAAATTATTCCCCATCTTGAAGACTGCTCAGAAATTGAATTTCTTTTGGAATGCAGCTGCAAAGCTGCTAAGCAGCTGTGGTCTTTGGGATCTGAAGCACTGGGGTTTGGCTTTTTTCCAAGCACAACTTAAAGTACTGGTGCTTACCTGAAAAAAAAACATGGTTTGGGGACCAGATACCTGAAAGAATGCCTTGACCCGCACTAGTCTTCTGACTGCACAATTAGTTTAAATGCTCAAGATGGAAAAGATGGAGGGATTCCTGCAGCTTCAATTGCAGTCATGCTGCATGATCTAAACTACATCTGCTGAAGTTTCCTTTTCTATATAATTACTGAAGGTACAGAAGCCTTGCTTGATTTTACACATTCTTCAGAGATCCTCCCCTGGGTATATCCACCTTCAGTGGTGAGATGGACAGGAAAACCCCC